GGGGGGGGTACGGGAGGGGGTAGGCGAGAGGTCTAGGTTTCGTAGAAATGTTGCAGCGGGGAACTTTAGAGAGCGTAGCTGACTGATGGAGTGATAATACAGGCGCAGCATTAGAGCGACCGAGAGAGGGAACTATCTCGATAAGGCCCGTCCCAGTGGGAGAGAGAAGAATCGGACCGTGCCCAACCTAGTATCTGGTCCGTCCCCGTGGGGCGCTTGATGTGCCGGGTCGTCGTTACAACGACCGCCGGGTCTTTGTTTGACAGACACGTCTTCTCCCGTGCAGAAGCGTGTAAGTTGTTCTCGCCTCTCTCCCGTGGTTCGACATGAACATGGCCCATGCTCTGTCTAATATGGCAGATACCGCACGGGACTTCATGTTGTCCCCTACAAGCTGGCAAGCTGGGCAAGTGACTTACTATTCCAAATGTTCACACGTTTTCTTCTCCCGTCTATATTCCCGAGTTACCATTTACACATTTGGCGCGCCATGCAATTAATGTAGATCTCCCTCCTACCTTTTTCGATAACACGTACATTGCACATTTTGCCTGGGGGCAGCTCTTGATTGAACACCCCCCCTTTCCACCTTCCTCCTCCCTACACCCCCCCTTTCCTCAAAAGAGAAGGGAAAAAATATGCCTCCAATACTCCATACCAACTCCTACCCCATATTGCTACTTCTTTCACTCTCATACCTCCCCCACAAAATCCCGCCCCCGCGATCGGCTCCTACCCGAAGATCATACACGCCCCCCTCTCACTCCCTTCGTTCGCTCTCTAACACGCCCCCCCTTGGAAAAGGGGGGGGGAGAGTTCTCTCCTCCTCTTCCGTAGAACATAAAGAGTCTCGTTGTTTCCCCTTGTCTCATGTCTCATGTCCATCTACGCCAAATCATCACCTTCACCTTCAGCCAAAGAAGGCAGACGATCGTCATCCAAGAGGGTGTCTTTGTGTCTCGTCTCCTCAACGGCCACTTTCTCTCCCATTCAAGTCCCACTCCCTCGACAGGTAGCACCTGTTCACTCTGCTACCTTTCACTCCGATCTTGGCACATTCACGTTTTCGAGTTTAGTGTTATACAGTGACGCCGCTCGACTCCGGAAAGTAACCCCGGCTCGAGAAAGGAGAGAAGCACCGAGAAAGAACACCAACAACGGAAGAGATTCCCATATCACCCCTATAAGGGAACAAGGACCACCAGAAAGTACAGCAGAACGGGACCATGAGTTCAGGAGGTTGGTCTGGCGGAGCCGGAGGGGCTGGAGCAGCAGGAGGGAACGCAGGAGCATCGGGAGGCGGACATGGAGGAGGAGGAGGCGGCCCCAGCGCGTTTCCCCAGAAGTATGCGAAGAGGGCGAGGATGAACGAAGAGGCGATGCAGTATTACGCCGCCGCCCTTTGCGGCCTCATGTTCCTGTTCGTCTTCATACACCTGACAAGGCTGTTTTCTCAAAAGACGGGGTTGAACAAGGCGACCATCTTTGCACCGTTCCATTACACCTCAAGGTTTGTCCCGACATTCCCTATTTGTCCTCGGACGAGAGAGAGCGGAATAGCTAACGGAGAGAATCAGGATTTTGAGGAGGCGGCTCTTGCCTCGGTTCCCCGGGCTGCCCTCCCGCGGGCACGCCGTGTTAGCGGTCCTCTTTATCAGTATCAATCTTGTGGTTTCCTTTGTCCACATGGACAACAACAACTTGGGGATCCAGACAAATCTCGCCGCTAGGTGGGGATGGTGCGTACCTATGGCCCCTAACCGTCTTGAACTGCCTGGCGTCAGACCCATCACATACTGACACCCGTCCTAGGCTGGCCGTTGCCAATATGGTGGTTGCCGTGTTCTTGTCACTCAAGAACACGCCTCTAGCATATATATCCGCCTGGTCCTATGAACGAGTCAACGTCATGCACAAGATCGTTGGATCCGTGACGATGGTCGCCGTCATCCTACACGCCTGCACCTATGCGTCGTACTTTGGGACGTCCGGGAACGTCAAGCGCCTCCGCGAGCACGAGGAGATCTTCGGCATCGTCTCAGGGTTCTGTATGCTCGCCCTCGTCTTCGCCGCCGTCGTAATCCGCCGATTCATGTACGAGCTGTTCTACGTCATGCACGTCCTGTTCTTCCTCGCCACCGTCGTCTTCGTCGGCCTCCACCAGCCCGAGGTGGCCAAGCGCATCCTGATTGTGACCTGCATCGTGGGGGGCCTATGGGTGTTCGACCGGTCCATACGGTTCCTGCGCCTCGTGTTCTATAGCTTCAACAACGAGGCCACGGTCTACCCGCTCCCCGACGGCGGAACACGCATCGTCCTCAGGAAAGGCCCGTCGGGCCAGGTCTCCGGGTCCCACTGTTTCGTCTGGATCCCCGGCGTCCGCTTCTTCGAGATGCACCCCTTTACCATCGTCTCGTCCAAGAGCCACGAGTTCGTGGTTGCGTCTCATGACGGCTTCACGCGTGATCTCCACAGTTTTGCCACGGCGCACCCTGGGAGGAAGGTGATGGCGTCCGTGGAGGGCCCCTACGGGACTTTCCCCAACCTCACCTCGTTCGACCGGGTCATCATGTTTGCCGGTGGAAGTGGCGCTAGCTTCACTGTCGGAATGGCTCTGAACTCTATGGAGAGTCGGGAGGGCAAGAAGCCTATCGAGTTCCATTGGATGGTGAGGCATCGAGGTGAGTAGTAGCCCATGCGCCACCCTGGCCCGACACATCCGCCTCCCGAAGCATGATCCCTAACGTTTTCCCCCTCTTTTCGCAATAGGATACTTCTCGTGGTTCGCAGACTTCATCCAGACGTTGAGCGGGAGCAACAAGGTGAATGTGAAGCTCCATGTAACCGGGAACACGCCGCCGTCCTCATCCGACGGGCCCAAGCCCTTCATATCCACGCCGCATCGATCAACATCACCCATCGATATTGACCTCGAGGATTCAGACATCGAGAAGGTGAGGTCCGGCCCATCGACGCCGTCCCACGCCGAGAACATAACACCATGCTTGGGCAACTGCGGCGCGCACCAGATTTGTCTTTCGAGCGGCCTCGAGATCACCGAGGGGAGGCCCGATGTGGGTAAGCTGATTAGGGCGGAGGTGGCGAAGGCTGAGAGGACGGAGAGGATCCTCATCATGGGCTGCGGACCTCCCAGCCTGATGGACGACGTGAGAAACGCGACGGCAGCGTGTATAGAGTGCGAGGGGCCTGCGATCGAGCTCCACTGCGAGCAGTTCGGGTGGTAGATCGAAGCTTTTTCTAGATGGGAATAGGAGGCGGATAGCTTTCTTTTCTTTCACTTTGAATAATTCTAGTTCATGTCACGGTTTTGAAGCCCTTTTTGAGGTTCTCGCCCTGTCTTTCGGCTTCGGCTCCAATCCTCCCCAGGGCTTTTTGTTCTCTCGTACCTTCCTTTCCATGGCGCGTATTCCCTTCATTTTGTATACCCCGGCGGGGAAAGAAAACAATACCTGTTGGATGATGGGCACACGGAGTCACCCCAACTGATATCAGGGCACACGCACTTGGTGCCTGCATATCTGGATTCGACGACGATGACGACAGCTGCCAATTTCGGCAGAGATGCGGGTGGTGAAGAGAGTGTGGTGGCGGGACAAGGTCACGAGGTTGTGAAATTTGTCATTTGTAAGAGGAGGAATGAACAGGGTTTCTAGTGTACAACTTAGATTAATCTAGCCCGTTGAACATCAAACGGAAGAGTGATGGTAATGAGATTAGAGTGTACCACGAGCACGGTTGTGATGGGATGTTGGTGTGGGTAGGCATACGTATGATCACGTGAAAGTTATCTTAATATACTTGATGTGTAAATCCGCATAACAAGCGTACAGGCGCTACTAGCTCAAGTAGTATAGTGGTTAGTACACCACGTTGTGGCCGTGGTAACGGAAGTTCGATTCCTCCCTTGGGCAATTTTTTTGGCCATTTTTTGCCCATGTACAATACAATGCCTCCATGACCACCACCACCATCATTCTGGCTTGTTCCCGTTTTCCCTTACCTCTCTATCTATCATGTCGTTTGGTCCACAGCGACGCTTTGAAATTTTCCTGTAAACTACCCGTTTGCAACTGATATGACAACTTGATGTAAACCGACTCTAAGGGAACGCGCAGCGAAGACCTTGTTTGTCGGTCCTTTGTCTACAAGTAAATAGCTCTCTTGCTTCGTAAGGAATACCTTTCCCGGGAGATGGATACCCCTTCTGAAAGCGGCGAAACCTTGTGCTTCCCAGTTTTGGTGGAGCCTCTCATGGAAAGACTGCACCTAGACCTAACCGCCAGGCACGGCCCCTCGGATTGCTTTTAAGAGAGAGCTTTAATCGGGAGACAGACAGACTCTTGAGACCCTTGGAATTGTCGAAGTACTTAAACCTTGCCACTTTGTTTGAACGTCTTCCCCAGGAATGTCCAGGAATATAAGCCGCAGTCACTTCACGCAGTTTATCAATCACATCATACCAGTACGCGTGCAATCAATTGTTAATCACATCTCCATTGCAGCTTGAACTACTCATCGGGAGCTCCGCTCGGATTAGATTCGGCTAATTGTGGAGAAAGCTCCCACCACCACCAAACCCACCTCGACGAGAGCCGGCTCGCTCCCTTCCTCGATCCGTTAGCACCATTAATATTACACGCTCCTTCCCCCAAAAAAACAGCCGGACTTTTTATCGTCTACACCTTCTCGGTCCGCCCCGATTCCACTCATCCTTCGGATCCCGCACGCCTTGACGAAGGACCATCTTCAATCGATTTCATCCATACTTGCTCCACTATACGACGAAGAAACAAATTCAGACGCGTCCGAGGCGCGTTAAGTGGTCCCATACTGCAACACTCAACCTCACAATGGCTCCCAGCCGCGAGGCCGACGCGTCCATGACCGACGCCCCGGACAACCAGCTTGCCGCCGAAATGGTAGGTCGAAGACGCCTACATTATTCGGAGTTGCGACTCTCAGCGCAGACCGTCCGAAACTATCCCACGAAGATCTATAGCATGGGCCGATCTAACCGGGGTTTCTTTTAGGAGGTCGATACGCCCGATTACACCGATTCCGATACCCAGCCGAATACCACGGCAAGCAGTGTTGTGGGCGAACCCACAGCAGACGGCCGGAAGCGTAGAACTGAGGCCAATCAACTGCGCCGCAGTGTATTCGGGAGGAAGCACGATAAGCTGGGCGAGTCAAAGGTACGCGTCCTATATCCTCTTGTGGACCGAAGCGTTACTGCCTGTACATGGCGTGCTAATATACCCACCAGGAAGATGATACCATTCGGAGATTCCGGCACCTGCTCGGCTTGACCGACCTATTCCGCCACTTCATCGAGACGAATCCCGACCCCAAGATTCGAGAAATTATGGTCGAGATCGACCGACAGAATGACGAGGAAGCGAAGAAGAAGAATGCTTCTCGCCGCCAAGGCGGTGCAGCTGACGCCCGAGCGCGACGCACTGAGAAGGAGGAGGACGAGGAGCTTTTGAACGACGAGAAGGCCGGTGGTTCTGCGGAAACCGTCTTCCGGGAGTCACCCTCGTTTATCAAGGGCACCATGCGAGATTACCAAATTGCCGGTCTCAACTGGCTCATCTCCCTCCATGAAAATGGTATCTCGGGCATCTTGGCCGACGAGATGGGTCTCGGCAAGACCCTTCAGACGATCTCGTTCTTGGGCTACCTAAGACACTTAATGGGCATCACCGGGCCCCATCTCGTCATCGTGCCCAAATCCACTCTCGACAACTGGAGGAGGGAGTTTGAGAAGTGGACCCCTGAGGTCAACGTCCTTGTTCTTCAAGGTGCCAAGGACGAGCGGCATCAGCTGATGAACGAGCGTCTTGTGGACGAAGGTTTCGATGTTTGCGTTACGAGTTATGAAATGGTGCTTCGGGAAAAGTCGTCCCTGAAAAAGTTTGCCTGGCAATACATCATCATCGATGAGGTTGGTCTTCGTCTTTACACTGCGCAAACGTTTCCGAGGTTACTAACGCGTTTCGCAATAGGCTCATCGTATCAAGAACGAGGAGTCATCTCTCTCGCAAGTCATCCGCCTATTCCAGTCTCGCAACCGCCTGTTGATTACCGGCACGCCGCTCCAGAACAATCTCCACGAACTCTGGGCCCTGCTCAACTTCCTCCTCCCTGACGTCTTCGGCGACTCCGAAGCCTTTGATAATTGGTTTACCGGCCAAGACCGAGACCAAGATGCCGTGGTCCAGCAACTCCATCGTGTGCTGCGACCCTTCCTCCTCCGCCGTGTCAAGAACGATGTCGAGAAGAGTCTTCAGCCGAAGAAGGAGATCAACGTGTACCTAGGCATGTCGGAAATGCAGCGCAAATGGTACCAGAAGATTCTCGAGAAGGACATCGACGCCGTCAATGGCGCCGGCGGGAAACGCGAATCCAAGACCCGACTCTTGAACATCGTGATGCAGCTACGAAAGTGCTGCAATCACCCGTATCTCTTCGAGGGCGCTGAGCCCGGCCCTCCATACACAACGGACGAACATCTTATTCAGAACGCCGGCAAGATGATGGTGCTAGACAAACTCTTGGTGAGGTTGAGGGCACAGGGAAGCCGGGTGTTGATATTCTCGCAGATGAGCCGTCTTCTTGATATCCTAGAAGACTACTGTGTCTTCCGCGACTACAAGTACTGTCGAATTGATGGCGGCACTGCCCATGAGGATCGTATCGCCGCCATCGACGAATACAACAAGCCGGGTTCGGAGAAGTTCGTCTTCTTGCTTACTACCCGTGCTGGTGGTCTGGGAATCAACTTGACGAGCGCAGACATTGTCATTCTCTACGACAGCGACTGGAACCCGCAGGCCGACCTCCAAGCCATGGACCGAGCTCATCGTATCGGCCAGACCAAGCAGGTCGTTGTCTACCGCTTCGTCACCGACAACGCCATCGAAGAGAAAGTTCTTGAGCGAGCCGCGCAGAAGCTGCGACTCGACCAGCTGGTTATCCAACAGGGGCGGGCCCAAATTGCCGCCAAGGCCGCCGCGAACAAGGACGAGCTACTGTCCATGATTCAGCATGGCGCCCAGGAGGTCTTCTCCGGCAAGGGGGCCACGGGAGGCAGCGATGTGGTTGAGGATGCTGATATCGATGCTATCCTTGCCCAGGGAGAGTCTCGAACTAAAGAGCTGAATGCGAAGTACGAGAAGCTCGGCCTTGACGACCTGCAGAATTTCACCTCGGAATCCGCCTACGAATGGGATGGTAAGGATTTCCAGAAGAAGAAGAACGACAACAATATCATGACGTGGATTGAGCCAGCGAAGCGCGAGAGGAAGGAGCAGTCGTACTCCATGGACAAGTACTTCAAGCAGGCCATGTATCCGACCAGCAAGGCGGAACAGAAGCCCAAGGCGCCGCGGGCGCCGAAGCAGGTGCCTGTCCACGATTACCAGTTCTACCCGGCTCGTCTACGAGAGCTACAAGACCGCGAAACGAGCTTCTACCGGAAGGAGATCGGATACAAGGTTCCGCTTCCAGACGGCGACGAGGAGAATCTCGAGGAGCGCGAGGCGGAGCGTACCAAGGCCCAGGAAGAGATCGACAATGCAGTCCCTCTGACGGAGGAGGAACAGGAAGAGAAGGCTGAGCTGTCAGAGCAAGGCTTTGGGGACTGGAACCGTCGCGACTTCCAGCAGTTCGTGAGCGGATCTGGTAGGTACGGGCGCACGGACTACGCAGCGATCGCTGAAGACATTGAGAGCAAGTCCGTCGCGCAGATCAAGGCGTATGCGAAGGTCTTCTGGCAACGATACGATGAGATCGCCGACTACCACAAGTACATCAAGATTATCGAGGACGGCGAGGAGCGCACGCGCCGCGTGGAGCACCAACGCAAGATGCTCCACAAGAAGCTCTCCAGCTACCGCGTGCCCCTACAACAGCTAAAGATCAACTACTCAGTCTCCACAACGAACAAGAAGGTCTACACGGAGGAGGAGGACCGGTTCCTCCTTGTACTCCTGGACAAGTACGGCATCGACAGCGAAAACCTGTACGAGAACATCCGGGAAGAGATTCGTGAGAGTCCACTCTTCAGGTTCGATTGGTTCTTCCTGAGCCGTACTCCCATTGAGCTGAGCCGGAGATGTACCACGCTTCTCACGACGGTGATGAGGGAGTACGAGGATGTGCAGCCCAAGGCGAATGGGAAGGGGAAGAGGGAACCCGAGGATGAGGAGAATGATGAGGATAGCATCCTAGGGATGGCGCCTGCGAAGAAGAAGACAAAGAATGGAGTCAAGGTAAATAAGCTTCTGCCCAAACCCCCCCTTCTCCCCCCATCTTTTCCATTCCGACTCTCATCTTGTGAGAACTCGGTGCTGACAACCTTTTTAGAACAAGGCTCTAGACAACGTCAAATCAAAAGGCAGCAAGCCCGCCTCCGCGACCCCGTCCCGCGGCTCGAGCGTCACAAGCAATGCCTCGGGTAGTGCCACGAAGAAGGGCAAAGGAAAGAAGAAATGAGGCTTTGTCGTAACCCGTCTTCTTTTTATTCCTCTTTTGCCACAACCACCTCGAAAAGCAATTCTTTTTTTCGTGTCGGAGGAGGGTTGGATCTTGGGCTTTGATTTTTGGGAGTGTTTGGCGTTGGAAGAGGAGGGGGGAGGGTATTAGATGTGCGGAATGTATGTGGAAGATGAACAGGAGGCGGGGAGAGAACATAGGTTTGCTTAGCTAGAAGATACAAATGGTGCATTCGTTACTCTACTTGAGTCCTTGCCCGGAGGGAGTCTGATCTCTGTTGGTGCCGTGACATGTTGCAGACTTACTTTACCCTTGATGAGGATCGAGACATCCTCATTGGCAGGCGTATGTCAGACATGGGCGTGCCCTTCAGGGTCGTGACATGGTCGTTTAAGGTCTACTCTCGTCCTAA